TTTGTTCATATACTCTTTGCTTACCCTTGTCTTCAAGATTTCTACTTACCTTGTCTTCCAGTAGATTTAGTGTTTCTGTTTTAATATCTAGATCTTTGATTCATTTTGACTGTAGTTTAGTGCATGGTGATAGACGTGAGTCTAGTTTCAGTCTTTGACCTGTGGAAAGTCAATTTTTCCAGCACCATTTATTAAAGAGGCTGTCTTTCTTCTAGTGAACTCGTTTAGCCCCTTCGTCAACTATAAGGTGGCTGAGTGTCTTTGTAGTTGTGTTTCAATCTTCTGATCTGTCCCACTGATTCTCAGGTCTATTTTTTTGCCAGTACTGTGCTGATTTTATCACTGTAGCTTTGTAGTATAATTTCAAGTCAGGGATTGTGATGCTTCCTGCCTTGCTTTTGTTGTCCAGTATTGCCTTTGCTATTCTAGGTTTTTTCTGTTTCCAAATGAATTTTTGAAATGTTTTCTCTAGATTTGTAAGGTATATCAATGGTATTTTGATTGAGAATGCATTAAATCTGTATAATAGTTTTGGGAGTATGACGATTTTCACAATGTTGGTTCTTGCTAACCAACAGCATGGGATAGCTTTGAATTTTCTAATATCCTCTTTAATCTCCTTTTTTGGAGTAGTATAGTTTTCAGTGTATAGGTCTTTTACATTCTTGGTTAGGTTGATTCCTAAGTATTTCATTTTTTTGGATGCTATTATGAAAGGTGTTATTTCCATAATTTCTCTCTCAGTGAGTTTGTTGTTTATGTATAAGAATGCTATTGATTTTTGAGTGTTGACTTTGTATCAAGCTACACTGCTGAATTTGTTTATTAACTCTAGTGATCTTTCAATGGAGTTTTTGTAGAGTATCATGTCATCTGAAAATAGAGATAATTTAACTTCTTCCTTTCCTATCTTTATTCCTTTTATTTTTCTCTCTTGTCTAATTTCTCTGGCTAAATATTTTCAGAACTATATTGAGTAGAAATGGTGATAGTGGACATCTTTGTCTTATTCCTGATTTTAGAGTGAAAGATTTCAGTTTTCATCCATTTAGTATACTATTGGCTGTTGGTTTGTCATATATGGCCTTTATCACATTGAGGTAGATACTATCTCTTTTTAGTTTCTGTAGGTTTCTTTTTTTAAATCATGAACAAGTGTTGGACTTTATCAAAAGCTTTTTTCTGCATCTTTTGAGATAATTGTTTGATTTTTGTTTTTGGCTCTGTTGATGTGGTATATTACATTTATTGATTTGCGTGTATGTGAAACCATCCTTTCATTCCTGGGATAAACCCCACTTGGTCGTGATGTATAATTTTCTTGATTATTTGCTGCAGTCTATTTGCCAGTATTTTATAGAGAATCTTTGCATCAATGTTCATTAGTGAGATTGGCCTATAGTTTTCCATTTTGGTAGCAGTGTAATACTTGTCTCCAGGAATGAGTTAGGAGGATTGCTTCCCTTTCAATTTCATTGAAGAGTTTGAGGAATATTGGCATTAAATCTTCTCTAAATTTCTTGTAGAATTCAGCTGTCAGTCTATCAGGACCTGGGCTTTTCTTTGTTGGTAAGTTTTTAATCACATTTTCAATTTTAGTAGCTGATACTAGGTTATTTAAAATTGTTATATCTTCTTGAGTCATACATTTCCAGAAATCTGTGCATTTTATCTGTTTTCTACCCTATGTAAGTAAAGATTTTCAAAGTAGGTATTCATGTTCTTCTGAATTTCCATGTGATCTTTAGTAATTTATCTCTTTTCAGTTTTTATTGCATGAATTTGAGTTTTTTTCCTTTCTTTTCCTTGGTAAGGTTGGCTAGAAGTTTATCAGTTTTGTTTATTCTTTCAGAAAACCAGCCCTTTGATTCATTAATTCTTTATGTTGTTTTCTTAGTCTCAGTTGCATTAATTTCTGCTCTAATCTTTTTGATTTCCTCTCTTTTATGAGCTTTGAGTTTTACTTGCTCTTTTTTTCCGAGAAGCTTGAGGTGTAGCATTAAGTTGTTTATTTGTGCTCATTCTGGTTTCTTGATGTGACAATTTATTACTATATATTTTCCTCTTAGGACCACTTTCATTGTGTTCCATAGGTTTTGGTATGTTGTATCTGCATTTTCATTGAATTGTAGGTATTGCTTACTTTCTTTTTTAATTTCGCCTCTAACCCACTGGTTGTTTAGAAGGTTGTTATTTAATTTCCATGTATTTATGCAGATTTTGCAATTTCTTTTGCTATTAATTTCCAATGTCAGAGCACTAGGGTCAGATAATATGCATGGGATAATTTCATTCCCTTTACATTTACTTAAGAATGTTCTATGGGCTAATAGATTGTCTATTTTGGAGAATGTCTCATGTGCAGCTGAGAAGAATAAGTATTCTGATGTGGTTTGGTGGAACACTCTGTAAATATCTACTAACTACATTTGTTTACAGGTTTGATTCAGTTCTGTTATTTCTTTGCTGACTTTTTGTCTAGTTGATCTGTCTCTTTGTGACAATGGAGTATAAAAGTCCTCTATTATAATTGTGTTGTTGCTCATTTGATTTTTCATTTCTATTAGTATTTATCTTATATAGTAAAGTGCTCCTATATTTGGTACATATATATTTATGATTGTTAGCTCTTCCTCTTGAATTATTCCTCTGACAAGCCTGCAGGACCTTTTTTAAATCTTTTTTGATCATTTTTGGTTTGAAGTTCACATTGTCTACAAACAGAATAGCTACTCTTACTTTTTTCTGAGTTTCTGTTGCATGGAATATTGTTTTCCAACCTTTGACTTTTAGTCTATGAGTTTCCTTTTGAGTCAGATGTGTTTCTTGAATACAGCATATTGTTGAATCCTATTTTCCTATCCATTCTGTCAATCTATTTCTTTTAATAGGTGAATTGAGGCCATTTACATTGATGGATATAATTGATATGTACTGACTCAACTTTATCATGTTATTTTCCTGTTGTTGGTTTTCTGCTTTTCCCACTGGTTTAATTGCTTGCACTGTCTGGTTGTTTCTTTATACTGTTGTTCTGGGAGCTGTGATCATTTTTATTTCTCTCTGGTATGTCTTTTAGTACACTTTCTAGGGTTGGTTTGGTGGACATGAATTTCTTCAGTTGTTCTTTGTCATGGAAGTATCTTACTTATCCTGTAAATTTCAAAGAAAGTTTTTCAAGGTACATCAATCTGGGTTGAAAGTTGTTTTCTTTCAGGGCTTGAAATACTTCACTCAAAGTTGTCTTGACTTGAGGGTTTGTGCTGAAAAGTCTGCTGTAATTTTAATGGGCTTTCCTTGATAAATGAATTGTGTCTTTTCTCTAACAGATTTTAGTATTCTGGTTTTATGTTGCATGTCTGGGATCTTAATTATTATATGTTCTGGGTGTAGATTTAAAATGCAATTCTTGAATTATAAATGTGATTTAAAAACCTAACTTTTAAATGAAAGTGTGCAAACTGTCAAGAAAATAGTGATATTTGAGGATCACCCAGTTTTAAACATTTTAATAGAGGAAAAGTAGAGAGCATTTATGAAACGTGTTATCTTCTTCAATAACAATCCTTATTCAATTTCAGAGGCTGCTCAAATAATGATTTTAAAATAGCATTGAAGAGGTACAAATAGCATTGTAAAGGTATGATGCACAATAACACAAAAAAAGAAGAAATTTCAAATTTGGTATACATATGTACTTCTAGAAGATACACAATATTTCATATCAAAATATACCTCTGATAGGTGGATAATTTTGAGCTAAAGGCAAACCATTAGATTTAGGAGAAGCTTTTGTATTTCCCTAATTATTTAGAAATAGAGCATGAGTTTCTGTTTTTAAATACAGGAAGTTTCCATTTATAAAAGCGAATTCAATTTTTATACAGTTCTCCTTGCCAGGATGTCAGCTAACCAGTTGTCCAAATGACAATTCATCTGAGAGACTCTTATCTGTGTGACAAGATAAATTTTTCACACCCCACATTTTCTCCTTTCTCTTGCCTGAACTTGTCGCTCCCACCCAGAAGATCCAAGATGCTATAAAAGTATATAAACATTCATCATCCTGCCCCATCTTTGAGACCTATTTTTAAAGGACATTTCTTGTATAGGTGCATAATTATGAAGTCATTTTTATTTGTCACTATGTCTTCTATCAATTTGATCTGTGGCCCCCAGCCATTGAATCTGGGGATAGTAGAAGGAAAAACATTTTTTTCCCCTGTACTTTTTTTTTTTTTTTTTTTTTTTTGTCTTTTTCGTTTTTATTGGGACCAGGGATCAAACTCATGTTTGCCTGCTTGCAAGGCAGGCGCTTATGCCACTGAGCTAAATCCCCAGCCCCCTTTTCCCCTGTACTTTAAGGTGAACAATTTTGAGCACATTTCAGAAGAGACCTGTGTTATAGGTTCATCCCTGGAAAGTGGGGTCCTCACTCCTTGGTCCTCAGTTCTTTGTGTCCTCGATGAAAGAATTCAGTGAAGACAAATAGGCAGCCTTGCAGAAGTACAAGAAGAGTGTATTGTAAATTAGACAAATACATATAGAGTCTACCTTTGAGCAAGAAGGCGGACAGTGCTATGGAGGCATTTGCACTGAGCATGGGCCTGGGTATATTTTTAGGCACATGAATGTTACTCCTGGGGTTCAGGGAACTCTGGTGATTATGATGTTTATAGACATTTCTCTTGGGGCTTATTTGGAATGTCCATAGCTCAAAAATGTCTTCCTTGCTCTTTTCAGGTGGTCCGTGTTCCCTCCTGGGCCTAATTCTGTAAGAATTTAAATCAACTCTTAGTCCAAGGAGAGAGGGTCTTTGAAAAATGCTCCTGTTGTTGATATCACTGGGCATAGGCTATGGGGCCTAAGAAGGCTGAAGGCCAAGTTTTGAAAATAGATGGTCAGGTGGCGGATCATTGGAAGGAGCTCACAATGCACACACAGCCCTTTGTCCCTCAGGGCTGCCAGTGTCTAACTGGCTGCCAAACATCTTACATCTTTGTTCTACTAGACTCAGCGAAAGAAAGTCTAGCTTAATTTCATTCCTTCTCAGCACAATTTCTGCTTTGGTCTTAGCAGTGCTGTGAGCTGAGTGATGCTTTCTCTTATGTTGTATTTTTTCATGTGCTAAAGTTCTAATTCCTTGCACCTCAAAATGTGACAGTGAAATGAAACAAAGGTCTTGAGGATGGGCTCTAGCCCAGTATGACTGGCATCATTATAAAAAGAGGGGATTTGGAGAGAGACACAGAGTCGGACCATGTGAGGGCATAGAGAATGCACATGGACAAGCCAAGGAGAGAGACCTCAGGGGAGACCAACCTGCTGACACCTTGATTTTGGATTTCCAGGCTCCAAAATTGTGAGTAAATAAACCTCTCTTTCTCAGGCCACACATTCTGTGGGACTTGACTTTGGCAGCCTGAGCAAATTAATATATTTAGTGTTGCTAAAGGGATGGGGTTTTTAGGTACCAACTTTTCCCATTTATCCGAAAAGGAATATTTTTATTTTCATTTTTGTGGTTCTCAGGGAGAGCTGAGCTGTAACCGCATCCCTTGTAAACTGTTATTTTGAGACAGGATCTTGCTAAGTTGTGCAGGCTGGCCTCTAAATTGTGACTCTCTTGCCTCAGCCTCCTGAGTAGATACGCCCCACCATACCTAGTTGAAAAGCAGTATTATTAAATACCTTCAACTCTGTTCTTGTTTCTATGCCAAACACAATAGCTGTCATTAAGGGAACTGCACAGGGACTGCTGCCTGGATATTGTATTGAAAAGCTGCTATGTACAGTAATAAATAACAAAGCTCTTTTAATTTATCATGCAATATAACTTTTTATAACTTTGTACTGATTTCTAAATTGAATTTTTCAATTTAAATTAAATTATTTTTTCTCTTTTAGATTCTCAGAATTTTATTTTTAGGTTCAAAAATTCTTTTTTTTCGTTTTCCTCTAAATATTTCTCCTGGAGAAAGTACACTTACCTAGTGGGGCCGTGGGCCTGGTATTTTTGTGTTTTATTTGGTCAATGGAATTTTTATTTGAGTGTCTGAGATGGGCTAGGTACTCCTCTAGGTGTTGTGGATATATCAGTGAAAAAGAAAAAAAAAAAAAGAGAAAAAGAGAAGAAAACTTTCCTGCTCTTGAAGAGTGAGCACTCTGACAGTAAACAATAAATAAGTAATCAGCATTAGAGAAGATGGGAAATGCTTTGGGAAAAAGAGAGTGGGTGAAAGGTATTGTGACAAGGTAATCAAGAGGGTCTTATTGAGAGGATGCTATCTAAGTAAGTAAGGCCGAGGAGGCTAGCAAGCTGGTCTCGTGCACCTATTAAATAGAGCACAAATATTTAACCAGAGAGACCAGCTGGGGAAATATACTGGAGCAGAAGTGTGTCATGTGTGTCAAGAAACAGCCGCAACCTTCACATTTGCTCTTAGTGGGATGGGGGGACAGTTGTTTTGTTTTTGTTGTTCTACTTGTTTTTTCATTCTTTGTTTTTTAAGCACTGTGATTGAACCTAGAATCATAAATTGTGCATGGTAGCAAGAGCTCTGTCATAACATACACCTCCAGCTCTTGGGGAGCAACTTTTAGGAAGAGAAACAACACTATCTGAAAAGTTAAAAGGGTCAGTCTTGCTGAGTTGAGATAGAGGAGGGCATAGTGCAAAGTGCAAGTGGGGAGGCTATTGCTATAACCCTGGGGAGGGAGATGGAAGCCTGACCAGGGAAGCAGCAGTGGGAGTTGTGCAGAGTGGTTGGACTCAGGATGTATTTTGAATGTTGAGGCTAACATGATTTCTAGTTAGGCTGATGACAGGTAAACTATGCTTCTAAAGTTTTTTTTTGGTGTGGGGAATTGAATAGTGGAGATGCCATCAGCTGAGATGGGAAAGATCAACAGAAAAGTGTTTGTAGAACCAGTTTTGGACACGTTAATTTGTTACTATTAGATGTCCAAGTGGATGATGAGTAGACAACTGGATTCATCTTCACATGTATTAATTTGGACATGTTAATCCTTATAGGAGGCTTGTAAATAAATCTTTGAGTATCCTAATTTTTAAATGAGAAAACTGAGGTATAGAGAAGCTAAGATGTGCTCAAAAATCACACAAGTAATAGGTAATGGAGTTGGGATTTTTCAATATATATATTTTTTATTTGTTTATTGGTGCAATTTAGGTATATAGGATGACCACATTCATTGTAGGGAATTTGTATCTGTACATGATGTATCTTTTTTATTTTCTATTTCTATGTATTGATTATTTACACATTATTTTATTTCTATTTCTATGTATTGATTATTTACACATTATTTTTGAGAAAGATGGTCCTGGATTTGGAAAAAATAGCTAGCTTTAAGAAAGATTGGGACAATCGATAAGCTATAAACTCTGTATTCAGGTTAAATTTCCTAACTTTGAGCATTGCACTGTAGTTATAGTAAACAAACTGAAGTAATGGGAAGGAGTTGTTAGAAATGATGACCACATTCATTGTAGGGAATTTGTATCATCATGTATTTGTACATGATGTATCTAGCTTCTCTGTACCTCAGTTTTCTCATTTAAAAAAGCAAAACAAAAAAGGATAGAAATAATACAGAGTTTTAAAAAAAATCTTGGTTTCCTCTTTTTTTTTTATTTTGAAAGTATACAACAGAACAAGTCAGAATAAAGCCAACTAAGATCGTACAGTGAAATTGGTACAGAACTTCACAGCAGGTTACCCGGATAACAGTAATAGGTATCACAATATATTTTGTTATCTTTATAATAGTTGTTCTTTCAATCCCGTATATCAAAATGAGATGAAATATAGAACACTATAGAACTTATCAAAACAGAATATTGAATAGAGCAGTACCATTAATCAGAAAAGAGCAAAACAGTAATAAAAATATTTGTCTTCAAAGAAATGGTAGAAGGAAGTCCCCCTTATTTGCTATGGCCAACCTCCCAGGAGATGCTCAGATTTCTGGTTTCCACTTGCTAATGGGCAGGGAGGGAGAGGAGGAGGAAGATAGGGGAAGTGGGATATTTGACTCTAGGCCCTGTAGAGTAGGTTCACTATTGCTAAGCAGGGAGGCAGGATGGTCATTTGTTTTCACAGCGTCCTCAGTTCCAACATGACGTGGATCTCAGGAGACACTGATAGTTCTCCCCCTGGAAGGGCTGCAGTGTGCCACCCTGCCTCCGCTTACCAGGGAGGGGAGGTGCTGGCTTGGCTTCCCAGAGTCCTAAGTTCCAACATGGCTTGGATCTCAGGAGACACTGCTGGTTCTCGATTTCCTCTTTTTGTTTTTTCCCTATTCCCAGCCCCTTTTCAAGCTCCCCTTCCTCCCCCATTCACAAAAGTTGATTTTCATTTTATCCTTTCCTCTCATTTTTTCTTTCTCTTCCTTCCTTTCCCCTCCCTCTCCTTCCTTTTTCCTTTTGAACTTTCTTCCTATTTCACAATATCTATTTACATTTATGCTCTTATTTACATTTTCAGTTTCTCACACCAGAAAGATAATGTGATATTTACATGTGTGTCCAGTTTACTTCACCTGTGGTGATGGTCTCAAGGTTCATTCATTTAACTATAAATGTCTCAAGTTTATCTTTATTTATTACCAAATAATATTCCATTATATTAAAAAACACATCTTTTTTTATCCATTCATTTGTTGATGGGCATTGGGTTGATTGCAAGATTTAGCTAATAAGAAATTGTGCTGCTCTAAAAATGGAAGTGCATATATTGCTGTGGTATGATGCCTATAATTCTTCTGGGAAGATTCCCAGAAAGGGAATAGCTGGGTCAAATGTGTTTTGGGGGAGTTTTTTGGGGGATCTCCATACTGATTCCCACAGTGGTTGCATCAGCCTACACTCCCACCAAAGGTGGAGAAGGATTCCTTTCCCCCCACTGCCCCTCTAACATTTGTTATTGGTTGATTTCTTGATGATAGCCATTCTTTCTGGAATGAAATGGAACCTCAGCATTGTTTCAGTTTGAGTCTCTTGAAAGACCAATGATTCTGAGCATTTTTTCATATATTTATTGGCTGTTGGTACTTCTGAGAAATTTGAACTCAGATCTGGTCTCGGGTTCCTTAGTAAAGAGTTAATGAAAGCTTAGATCCTTTAAAATCTGGGAAAGTCAGAGCACTCTACAGCAAAATTATCTATCTATCTTTGTGTAACTTTATATTTTATTATATATATTTTTGTGTCATATGTTTATATATGTCATATATAACACAATATATATTTCCGTAACTTTATATTTTGCTATGTATATTTTTATGTTTTTAAATTTATTTTTAGTGTATTTTTATATGATATATATATTTCTTTTTTTGATATATATATTTCTGTAATTTTTTATTTTGCTGTTATTTCAAATTTATAGGAACAGTGGACATTATGTACCATTTACAAGGATTGAACAATTATTTACACTTCGGCATATTTGCTTGATATTCTTTACTTCTCTCTCTTTTTTCCCTTTCTCTGAATATATGTGTGTGCATGTGTGAGTGTGAGTGCACATACCTACTCACAAAAATTTTTTTTCTTGAACAATCTGAGCATTTCTAACAACTCCTTCCCATTACTTCAGTTTGTCTACTATAACTACAGTGCAATGCTCAAAGTTAGGAAATTTAACCTGAATACAGAGTTTATAGCTTATCGATTGTCCCAGTCCTTCTTAAAGCTAGCTATTTTTTCCAAATCCAGGACCATGTTTCTCAAAAATAATGTGTAAATAATCAATACATAGAAATAGAAATCAACTATAAATAAAATTTATATATAAACTGTTACAAACAACGAGAATATTGCTTAGGTTGTGGGGTTTGTTTGTAGGACACGCCAGTGTTTCTACCTTGCCCTTTATGGATACCAGGTTGAAAAGCCAGGTCTTGACTTCATGGCAATGACTCCACATTCTTCAAGCCACACTACATAACAGATACTTTTCTTACCAACTATAGCATAATGGAGTTTTTCCTACCCCATTCCACCGACTTGATCTGTTGCTCTGCCAGTGGCCTAAATAGTGACTTGCAGAAATTAACAGAGTCTCTCAAAGTTCCTGAAAAGGTGGGAGAAGGGGAGAATCTTTTCATGTACCGTTTAACCCCACCTAAGACATTAACTGCACATAAATCCTTACATGTTCCTCTGAGCTTCCTATGTGGGTTCAATTCAGGATTCAGATTCACTCCAAGGCATTTAACTGCCTGAACAAATGATCATAATATTGCAGACAGCTATGTTAGATAGAAATCAATAGACATTCAGAGATGGAATGGGCTCTCAAGCAAATCTGCACAGAAGATGAGACCCACCAGAAT